CTTCACAATTCTAGAGATCAAGGTGTTGGCAGGGTTGGTTTCTTCTTCCTGTCTCCACATGGTCTTCCCTCTGTGTGTGTCTGTGTCCTGATCTCTTCATATAAAGATACCAGTCATGTTAGATTAGGGCCCACCCCAATTATCTCATTTTAACTTAGTTACTTCTTTTAAGACCCTAACTCCAAATACCATCACATCCTGAGGTATTGGTTAGGACTTCAACATACAAATTGGGGGTTGGGGGAGGAGCAGCTCAGAAGGACTGAGCATCTACAGCCAGAGCCTCTTTGAAGGGGTACAGGGAGGCATGAAGATGTTCAAGCAGGACAGCAGGTGAGAATGCGCTCCTTTCTCCTACTCTGCTGGAGGAAGACATGTTCTGCTGGATGGTATGTTGTTTTGTTTTTTAAATATGTCTTTATTGATTTCTAGAGAGAGTGGAAGAGAGAGAGAGAAGGGGGAGAGATAGAGACATTGATCGGTTGCCCGCCACGCACCCACTGGGGATGAGCCCACAACCCGGACACGTGCATGACCAGGAATCAAACCAGTGACCTCCTGTGCAGAGGTCAATGCTCAACCACTGAGCTACACCGGCTGGGCTCCTCTGTATGTTTTAAATGTTCTACCATAAGCTAAGAATGAACTACCTTGACGTCTAAAAGTACCATTCCCCTCAGAGTTAGGCACCTAGTGCAGACCATGGGGTGACCCTGGTACACTTGCTAGTCATCAGGATACAGATGGAGATTATACTGAGTTGAATGATAGCCCCCAAATGATATGTTCATGTACCAACCTCCAAAACCTGTGAAGAAGGGTCTCTTCAGATATTAAAACAGCGGTTCTCAACCTGTGGGTTGCGACCCCTTTGGGGGTCGAACGACCCTTTCACGGGGGTCGCCTAAGACCATCGGAAAACACATATATAATTACATATTGTTTTTGTGATTAATCACTCTGCTTTAATTATGTTCAATTTATAACAATGAAAATACATCCTGCATATCAGATATTTACATGACGATTCATAACAGTAGCAAAATTACAGTTATGAAGTAGCAACGAAAATAATTTTATGGTTGGGGGTCACCACAACATGAGGAACTGTATTAAAGGGTTGCGGCATTAGGAAGGTTGAGAACCACTGTGTTAAAAGGATCTTGCAATCAGATCATCCTGGGCAAGTGGACCTGAAATCCAAAGACAAGTGACCTTAGAAGAGACAGAAGAAGAGAAGACCAGACCCGGAGGGGAAGGCCATGTGAAGGCAGAGGCAGAGATCGGAGTGATACAAGCTGAGGACACCTGGAGCCAGCAGACGCTGGAGGAGCCTTCAGAAGGAGAACGGCCCTGTCAGATTTCAGACTCTGGCCTCCAGAACTGTGAGTGAATATGCTGTTTTAAGCCACCAAGTTGGGAATAATTTGTCATGGCAGCCCTAGGAAACAAATACAGAGACCAATATTATTAATACAAGAAAATGTAGAGAATTTTCTGGTGGCCTTCTATTGACAGCCTACGGCTAGGCAAATTTATTTCTGTTGTAGCCAATGATTCTAACATACTGCAAGGTGGGTATTATCTCTGTTCTGCAAATAGTCCCTGATGCACCAAAAGTTAACTTGCTTGAGATCGTGCAGCAGCATATAGCGGAGCAGCATTGCACGCCCCTGAATCCACTAAAGGTGGTCTTTTTCCTATACTTCCATGCCTTCCATCAAAAAAATGTGTTTAAGTTTGCTGCACTGCCCAGCCTCCTCCTCCTGTCCAACAGCTACCCCCCACCCCCGCCCCCCGCACCATCCTAGAGGGCAGAGTGATGCTTCCCAGACTTTTAGATTCCCTGTCAAACAAGGAAGCAACCTGGACATGTTTAAAGTTGGATTGAAATATGTTAACACCAATGAGTTACTACTCCCCAAGCATTTACATTTTTACATTTTTAGATGTTTTACTTTCAACTGTGGAACTAAAAGATTTGTCGCCATTACATAAATGGGTCAAAGACTACTTCCGTACATTGGCCTCTCAGTACTTTATTTCTTCCCTATAGGCTGAGAGTGGTTAGCTCGAAAGCCCGCCAGTACCAAACACAAAGTGTTACACATCCAATTATTTCTAAAATGACACAAACAAGCATATTTTTAGGCATTTAGCCTGCTTTACATAGCCTGTGAACCTCACCTGACATTGATAAGATAGGGTCTTATTGATAGAAGGCCCTAGGCCAGTGGTTCTCAACCTTCCTAATGCCGCGACCCTTTAATACAGTTCCTCATGTTGTGGTGACCCCCAATTTCATTGTTACAAATTGAACATAATTAAAGCATAGTGATTAATCACAAAAACAATATGTAATTATATATGTGTTTTCCGATGGTCTTAGGCGACCCCTGTGAAAGGGTCATTTGACCCCCAAAGGGGTCGCGACCCACAGGTTGAGAACCGCTGCCCTAGGCCTTCAGAGTTCACCTAGACACGAGCCCTCTCCAGTCTCCCTGACCCAGGAAGTCCCCTGCCCTCCTCCCCTCTGAATGGAGGTCCATTCACTGTAAGCCTCCGGCTGGCCTTATACAACCCTTCTATACACCATCTAATAAAACTTGTGTTACTCTGATCTCTTGTGGTTGTCCTTTTTCCTTTGATCAGCTCCAAATCTCTCGAGCCCCCTACATCACACCAACAGGACTTAAAAGCAAAAGAAAGAAATGGAAGAAATCATCCTGTCTTTTCCTTGCCTTGGAAATAGAACTTTCCTTAGAGCTGGCCCCGAAGACAACCCACCCTCAGTTGCAGGCACCTGGGATGTGTGTCTTGGGGGACATACACCCATCCCTGTGCCCCACACCTCTGAGGGGCCTCCCTCACCCAGCAATCCTGGACAAGCCTCTTTCCCCATGCACAGAAGGCTCATCTGGCCTATTTCTCTAGTCTTGTGTCCTGGGGTATCTACCCCTCTAGTTTCACATCACTTACAACATGATACTCAGGAGCATGGGACTCAAGGACTCTACAGGTTCATGGAAGAGAGAGGTAGGCAGCCAGTCGGGTGCACAAACCGGACCCAAGAACAAAGTGAGAGAGACAAGGTGTAGCTGCCAGGGTCTGTCTCTATTCCTAATCCACTATGGGGTAAGGAGGGAAGCTGAGGACACCCCAGAGAGAACTGGGGTTTCAAGTAGGCAGTGTAATAATGGAGAACTGACTCCTTTACCAGAGCCCCACACTTAGCTCAGCTCCCCTCTTGCCCTCCAAGACCACACACGGCAAACTGGTGTTTGCTCCCCTTTGCCCCCCACCAGCCTCCGTATGTTTCATTATTGTAGCTGGGACAGCACTGGTATGGCCATCCTCCTCCACACTACCTGGGCACCAGAGGCCTCTAGTAAATGTTTGCTGAATGAATGAGTGTGAGTGTTTACAAATCATTTACACATAATTACCTATAATTCTCATTTATATGACACACTAACTTTGCTATAAAATTATCTGCTAACAATAGCTCAGGGAGGTTCAGTCATGGTTTGCTGGTCACAAAGCATGTTCAACTGCTCCAGCAACATTGCTGAACATTCATTCACAAGTGGAAAACCAGGGCTGGCCCTGACTGTTCATTGCCCTGAGTTTTAGTAAGTAAATTGATCTTAAACACAGTCACCGAGAGAAACAATTGCCCAACCTTCTTGCAATTATTTCTGTTGGAGTCACTGACTCAATAAACAAGAACCCTGCAGGCAACTCAGCCACTGGTAGTGGATCATACTCAAGTTTTGTTTCCTCAGCAGTATGCAGGATGCCTGGTATACAGTAGGGCATCAATAAGTGCTCACCCTGAGGTTTCCTGCAGCAGCAGATGCTTCCTACAGCTGATGTGTTTCAACCTCTGGAGATAACAAATGTCCCCTCACCTGGCTGAGGGCCCCTGCCAGACCCACACCACTCAGGATGGTGATGTGGTGGCAACTGGGAAGAAACAATAGATCATTAGTTATGAAAACCAGGATTGCTCCCTACTTCTTTATTTTAAAGTAATACAGAACAACTACTCACTGATGCTTTATAAAAGTGCAAACTTTGTCACAAAAAGGAGAAAAAAATAATTTGGAAATCCAAAAGCGTAGAAAAAAAGAATTGAGTTATCTTAAAAGAAACATATTTTGGGCTCCTTTAGAAATTGTTTCCATACTGACAATGGATTGAGGACAAGAGCAATCATTTTCCCCACAATACAAGTTTTTAAAACCATGGGGTAAAAGTAAAACTAAAGAATTATTGCCTGATTATACTAGTACAGGCAGCTGCTTAAATCACACATGTATGTGTTCCTTCATTTCTTTGTATGTGTTTCAGGGACAGGATGGGATTTTATCATACTGAGAGAAAAGGTGGTGGTGGTGGGGGGGGACTTCCACCCTAATTCCAGCCCATAAAAACATCACTAACCAACCATTTAGCAGCAGGCAGACCTTCTGCAAGAGATGCCTTGGGGGGAACTCCTGTTCCAACACCAGCAGAGCCACGCTGAGTGAGATGAGTGACTACTCACTTGGAAGACAGGAGGGTGGAACACTCCCCAACAGGTTCTGCTGGAATAGGCCCATGGGCTCTGAGTAGGAGGATCCTGACCTTAGGGCCACACACATTACATAACTACAGGCTCAGCGCTGGAGATTAAGAAAGGAAGTAGTTTGTTGGTTTTGAGGTTTTCAAAAGGAGGAAGGATTTTACACCCAGTGTGCTAACCCCATTGGCTCTATTCTGGAAAACAGCAATTAAAAGGTTGCCCAACTTTAAGGACCTGTCTTAGCAGCAAACACCCCATAGAACTTGCCAGGTTATTAAGATAGACTGACCTCACAAGAAAGTCAAGGGCCTGCAGAGGGGGTGGTCCTAAAGAGCCACTCTGAATCACTGCTTGTTAAATACCTTGAGTGTGTTTCATACACACCCTTGAAACCAGTTGTATTCAGAGTATAAACTTCTATACCGATTGTCTCTAACTCCATCATTTACTTTATTCCATTCTTATATTCAACTCTTGACCTCTAGCTCTCCTAAAGATGGTCCCAGAAATAGGTCATGCTTAGCTTCACACGTGCACTGATGCTACAAAATGTAGCTCTGAATGCTTCTTAAAGGGTCCTGTTCAGGTTATACTTCAGGTGAAAGTCCATCTTGAAATTTCCTCTCCCACAGGCTGAATGTGGAGAGAGAGAGAGAGAGAGAGAGAGAGAGCGAGCAAACGTTGGGTAAATCAAAGTTTAATATCTTGTATCCACAATGATTAATAGATAAAATAGTTATTTAAAATCATGCAAAGAGACACTGAAATATGTGCCATTTTTGGACTCACATATGGGGGCCAAATAAATAAAATGAACCAAGCCTATCACTAAATGTTTCTCAATGGTAAAATTTCACAAGATGATAAGCTATAATTAAAATACATTCCAGTTGACCCTGGAAGTAACATATGGCCTATTTACCCAAAAGAATTTTATATTCTTCTTTTTTTTAATCCTCACCTGAGGATACATTTTTATTCAATTTTTTTTAAGAGAGAGAGAAACATCAATCGGTTGCCTCAAGTTACGAGGTCCCACGGAGGATTGAACCCACAACCTAGATATGTGCCCTGACTGGGAATCAAACCCAGAACCTTTTGGTGGGATGACACTCCAACCAACTGAACCACCTGGCCAGGGCCTACATTCTTGATTTCCTCAGAACACACAGTCTTTCCAATTGGATCCAAGATGAATGATTGTAAAGATTCCAGATCTCCCTAGATGAGGCAGAGAGCCACCAGACTGAGAAATGCGGGGCTGGACATAAGGCCCTGCCATCCAAATACTCTGGTTTCAAATGAGCACTTCTGTTACTGTCAAGGTCCTGAAATTAGGTAAGAATTAGGGATTTCTTTTTTCAATTTTTAAACTTTTTTTTGTCTAAGAATGTCTTCTTTGTTGCATTGTTTTTCACTCCTGGGATGTTTGAAAGTAATCAAACAAAAAATTAAACATGAACTTCATAGTCAAACTTGTTCTCAGAATTGGTCGTTCTAAGAAGCATTAGCCTTCAGCAATAGCCTTTCCTGCAAAGAGTCCCTGGACACAAATTCAACATTTCGCTCCCCCTTCCTTTTCCTCGCCTATTTTGGAACTCATTGTTTTCCCGTTTAGTACTCCTCAATAACAGAGCTTCTACTGGTCAAATAAGTGGCTCTGACAAAATTTCAGCCTGGCAAGGCCCTTGTCAGTGGGAGGCACCAGGGACCACAATGGCAGCAAACGCATTAGCCAACACTGGTGCTCAGTATCAATGCTCACTGATAATATATTCCACCGGCTCCAGAAAATGTTCACATGTGTTAAAAATGATTCGCCCTTGTCCATTTCTTGGTTGACTATTTTGTTTGTTTGTTTTGTTTTTCTTGGTTCAAAGCTCTGGCAAGAGTTTCACCAAACTGATTTTGGGGAAAGAAGCAAACCTGGAGACAGCCTATGGGGTGGGGTCGGGGGTGGGGGGCGGGTTGCCCAGGACTCTAGGCTTTCCCGAATTCATTCCTCACTCCCACTGCTTAATGTTCACAACTCTGCTACTATCTGGTACCTACTTGGGAAGAGAAGATAAGGTGGAATTTTTAATATTGAGTATTTTCTGTTTATTAAAGTGACATGTACACATATCGGAAAAATATAAATATAAACAGAGGGCTTCTAATGAACAGCAAATGTAGCCTGGCTCACCCCACTCTACTCCCAGCCTTGCTCCTCAGAGGCAAATTCTTTCAAAGACTTTAGTGTTTCTCTTGGTAGTTCCCTCCATACCTCTACTACATAGATTTTCTAAATTCACTCTTCCTAAGCATTTCCAATCAGCTTTCTACTATGAGAGGTAGGACAGTACACAAACAACACTCCCATCCTCTCACAGTGTCACTATTTTTAGGTCTCTTTAGTTACCTATGTATCTTTAATTAATATACTTTATTATACTAATCCATCCCTGACAGGCAGTTTCTCATAACTTCCCACGTTGTAAAACTATCAGTACTAGAAAGTGAAAGCTGAGTCACTGGAATTTGGTTTTACTACTGATAATCAGCTGATAAATTATGTGGCTGGGAATGGAATGAAAAGGAATAGTTAATGCTTTGGTATTGTATGTGCTTCAGTAAATCTCTGCTCCCTGTTCCCAACTGGCAGTGTAATCAATGGCTATTCTTATTCAATCCATTTATTACTTAAGAAGTTTAGAGGTGAAGCCCAACTGTGAAGCAAAAATTCATAAACAGTGACCCTGAGTTCATCTGAACATGTTTACAATACCTGCCCCCTCACCTTCCAACTTCAGAGTAACTGGCTAAGGGAAGGTTACAGGTGATGGCAAAGGTTTCTCATCAGAGCAGGTGGCTTGGCCAACCCAGAGCTCCAGGAAGCTAGTGATAGCCGTAGAATAAGGACAGACTAGAAAAAGACAATCTGATTTGAGGGGGCCAGTTAAAGGCTACTTAGGAAACAGATAAATTTTTGAAGGCATGACACATACTATATGGCCAGGTAATGATTCCTAACATATAAAATTGAATTTCAATAGGAAATTATTGACCTTTCAATGTGTCAGCACTCCCTGAGACCAACAACTTCAGCATACCTAAAAATACAAGCAGCAATTACAGTATAAACAAAAACAAAAATTTTAAGCCAATATGTAAATATCCTATCTAATAATAGACAAACATGGTAATTAACCATACCTCCAACACGCTTCCCATTGGCTAATCAGGGCGATATGCAAATTAACTGCCAACCAAGATGGCGGCCGGCAGCCAGGCAGCTGAAGCAAACAGGAGGCTTGCTTGCTCCAGTGATGGAGAAAGCCAAG